TGTGTTTTTTTTGTTATTTTCGTCATCTTCGTCGTTGTCGTCGAAGGGTTTGCTCCATTAGTCGAAAGAATGCTATCGTTTGTCGTGTTTATATACTTTATATACTACAGAGTAAATAAGTGTACACAAAGTGTATGTGTGTATGTGTACGTACGTTGGAGAGAGAGAAAAGAGAGAGAGTAAGAAAAACGACCTCAGTACAGCCGACATCTGCATAATAATAACGGTAATAGTGTGTGTAGAGAAGAGAGAAACGACATAAAGGGTTAAAATAAACATAGCATTGACGGGCTGCCGAGATCGTGGGATTTCGGTCAGGTGTAAACAACGACGAGGATGCTGCGTGGCCGCAAGGTATACAACGACGACGACTATACGCGGTTGCGTTACTCTCTTATACCAACCCCATTAACCACAAACGACTGTTTTTTTTTTTTTTTTATATTCTTTTTTATTTTACCCTTCACATTGCTTCAACAAATTATTTTTATTTGAAGATACACTCTATGAGTTGCGCCTATGCAGTGTGTGTGTGTATAGCGTATCAAGATCTAAATCTAAATTTTTTTTTTATTTATTATATTTATAAGACATTCCTAGCCTGTAAGGCTATCTACATCTATGGATACTTAGTACATCTAAATTATTAAACATATTATATTATCTAAATGCATAATATATTAATGTTTGGCATATCGATTCTCGTAAACACCACGATGACATTGTAAGGTGATTTTTAGCAGTTTTCGTTTTATAGTGGTTTGAAGTAGGCAAGATTTTTTTTCGTTAGAATTTTATATCAATTAACACCCAATACATGTAATATTTTGTCTGTGACTACTTATATTAGTGCTAGTGTTGACCGCGGGAAATTTCAACTTTAGATTAGAGTGTAGGGAAAATTGATGTTCAAAAGAAAATATTTGCAGTTCAAAAAGCTCTTAGTAAATGTTAATATTACTACAAAATATAGTACGTATTTTCCACTACAATAATATTGTACAAGATCTGAAACTTGTCTTCTATATACTCCTTATTACTATTATTATACGATATCCACTTATTGGTCGGAATTAATAAATTTAATAACATATTTTTGGTAGAAATGTTTGATTTATTTTGAAGACAAACTATAATTGTGGAAGGATACAATATTTTTCGAATACCAATGAAGAGTCAAGTGAGAAATATACTTACAGAGGCATATCGTATATGACAATAATAATAATAATATATGCAATAGTATATTTTAAAAATACCATAATTATTTTATTTTAAGCCCTTTTAAATATTTAATACATAGTTTCTACAAGTTAAGATTATTTATGTTTGAATATTAAATTTTGTATCTATAATTTATTTACTTTAATGTACAACAAAACATTTTTGGTATGTTTTGCATACCTTTAACATATTACAAGTATGTATGTATTGTGTAAAATCGCATGGCGTATGGTGTCTGCACTTTGCAGGACGCATGTCCATGTGTTGGTCATAATAAACTGTATAAATCTGATGTAATATTACTCAAGTCCAATTATTATAATAAAATAGGTAGGGAATTAATTTCTGTAGAAAATAATTATTTTAACATTTATTTTATTGTTCATTAAATGTATGAATAAAAACAGACATAAAAAAAAAAAATAATAAGTGAGTTTGAAGTTGATTAATCGGGGGAATGTTTCAACAATTTTGTCTATTTTCAAATGAGAAAAATAATTATTTTAAATAAACCGTGTTTTAATTTGTCATCAATATTCATTTATTATTGTTTACTTTTATATATATTTGTATTAATAAATATTTCTGATTATAAAAAAAGAATTCAATTTATTATTATTATTTATTGCTATACACTAACATTTTTAGTTTAAAATAATGTTTAGGAAACTTTGAAGAATCTATAAATATATATATATACGCACAGTCAGACTGTAGATGAAATGTTTAACTGTAGTAATATTGACATTTAAGAGTGGTACAGTATATCATATGCCTTGGGGAACAAAAATATGGCTTTATATAGTATGAATATATTCTCTCGGCGTAAAAGTACAATTTTTTCAGTTTAATTGTTATTTTATCGTTTCGGCGATAATTATATGAAAATGTTAAGTGGCAGCAAATCACCGAACGTATTGAATAATGTATTTAATTTTTTTTTATTTTACGCTACTCGATAAGAAGATTGAGCGTATTATTTGAACTATTTGAACTTATACTACACGCAAGTATGCAACACGCGTCATCATTAGGATATACTATTATTATTATAATTATTAGAACATCGTCTTTCGCACATAATATTATTTTGTACTATAAATTACAAGTAAAACTTGAAATCTACACGAGATGTCATCGTTATATTATATTGACAAGACAACATCACAAAGACTGAAAAAAATATAAGTAAAGATGAATCTCAAGATTTATATGAACTTAGAAGTTATCGAAAAACTAGGACAAATAAAAGAAAAAGTAACTGGTAGGATTTTTACTTTTTATACATATAAGTATATAACTATTGAACTATACAAGATGTCACGTGTAAAAGTACCTATATCTTCAGTTTTTCAGTGAACTTGCAGTGGTCACTAACTACTATTTATAATTATAATAGCAGTCATAATAACAATACAGGATATAATGAAAATGTAATCTTATATTGTATATGATATTATATTACACTTTCTGAGTAAGTTTTTACTAGAAACCATCGCTCGGGACCCATTAAGATGGAATCTTAAGGAGGCATACGTGTGGTAGGTTATATTTAAAACTATAATATTGATCCAACGATAGTCTTAAGTATTAATAGAACTTAAAAATTTGGACAAATTGTTTAACGGTCGACGTGGTGGATATCGAGATTTTACACGCTTAGATATATATAATATATTTGTAGACCATCGTAATAAATGAAAAAATTTCGTTTTTACTTTTGGAACGGCGTTATATCACTAATCTTGTCAAAAAAATTGTTTGGGTATAACGTGTATATTATATTTTTTTTTTATAAAAAAAAAGGTAATTTTAACTATTAAAATAAAACCAGTTTCTCATGTGAAAAATTAATATAAAATAATAATATGTTGATGATGCAAATTATATTATCTCATTCTTCTGAGATAGTGTTTTTGAATAAATTGAAAAATCTTTTCTCGTCAAGATCTCATTAAATAAATTTTAAGTAAAATCTTGCATTAAAAATATACATAAAAAAATCAAATGAGATAAAAGAAAATAAATATTGCAACGAAATCGGCCTAATCGACGAACTTGCAGCTCAACAATATATTATTAAAAGTACCTTTAATATAAACATATAATTAAGTAAATTTTTATATTTTAAGTTGGTTCTATTTAAATAATATCGTATTATAAATAAATTAGGAATTTCGAATTTTTTTTCTCGCCAAAAGAACCTTATTAACATATATATGATAACACAATATGCTCCGTCGTTCATTTGTACTGGTTGTAAAAGGATATTATGTTGTTTATTTCACCATCTATAGAAACTTTTGGGGCTTATATAATTATTATTATACATGATTTCGTATGTATATGTATGTTATGTGTTTTAAAATTAATCAACAAAAACCTGTTTGGACGCGTTAAGGAAAACGATATCATAAATATTCATTAGAAAATATAAACAATTATTGAATATTTTCTACATGCAATACACATACAATCCAATATATTATTATAAAGTGTATATGCAATGTCGATACATTTATAGCTAAATATTTGCGAGCATAATAAACTGAGTGTCGCTAGAAAATAATTAACAATATAATTTAATATTATATATTAAGTAGAAAGAGATTTTACTATTTACAGTCCGATGAATGGATAATAGCATTTAATATTATTATAAATATAATATAAGCATGTGTATATAACATTGTATCTAGGATCAAAGTTTATCAAATTAATTTTTGTTTGTTATTATTATTTAGTAATTTAAGCAATCCGAAAAAAATGTTTGAGAATTCATTTATATACACTTACAAGTGATAAGTGTAAGAATAATATTAATAAATACATAGTAAATTAGGTATGTGGTATATTTTATAATTAATGATAATTGTGTTAATAAACATTAAGCTGATAAAACTGATTAAACTCATCAAAAATATTAAATTATTACTTTTTTTTTATCCGCATTAAGTTCATCAAAACATCAGAAACATTAATTCAAAAACTAGTGAAAAAAAGTTAAGCATCTACTCTTTCTTGCTATAAGTAAATTGCGTGATACGTGTTGAATTCAATTTTTCATTGCTAAATCGAAGTAACAAAAGGCTTGGAAGTGATTCATAACATCTAATTAAAGTAATTATTTATGCTAATTGAGATTAAAAATATACATTTTTATATTTGTTAAAATATCAAAGTAATATTATTTGTATTTTTGGATAATTTTTGTAGGAATGGAACACACATATTATAACCAACTTGTATGATTGTTCTGTATGGATTTAATGATTTGGATACAATATTAAAGTGATTGAAAACGCTATGTAAAAAATGTTCTTTCATTTTTTTATTTCATTTAAATATCGTTTAAAATTAAATTGTAAATTTCTATTTGGAATTTTTCTTAAACTTCAAAATATAAATTTATAATTTCTTAATATAAACATATTTTGTGGTCATTTCAAAAATAAGCACCGGTCGTATAGTTTTAATACATTCTTGTGTATATATTTATATACAATTATACGACGGGTGAACGGGATATTATATATATATTTTTATTTCGATACTTTAACCGGCACAAACGTCTCGCTGCAGCAGAAATATAGTTAGAAGCATTTCGAAAACTTCGCCCCGCCTTAATATATACTCTCGCGCGATTAAAATTTATGTCCCATTACAGAACGTATATAAATATATAATTTAATAATATGTATATAGCTAGGTAATATAATATAACATGCGCATATAATATAAATACGCGCAACAACAATACGTCGCTGGTTTAATTTTTTTTATTTTACGGCGTTCCGAGAGAATGCACGGGGCACACATTATTATTATTATCATTATACACGCGCGAGCATTACATAATATGTATGGGTGCTTCTAAAAATGCATAGGTATACAGAGTGATTCTTTTATTGCGAACCGAACGATATCTTATGGCAAGTACGTAAAGGAATTTCTAAATCATTTGTTTACATAAATAATATATTAAAAAACAAATATGGTTTTTTTTTATGTTTCTACGCTTATCATAGCAATATTATTTATTCTTTAAATGTGAACAGTAATTAATTATATTTTTCAGATATTGTCTGATTTCCAATAAACCAAAACAAATCGTACTGTGTATAATATTGCAGTCCAAGGTTTTCATCTTCTCATCTGACTTAAGCACATGTTGCTTTTTACGACAATTGGCCGCCGTTATAAAATCATTGTTGATGTATGTATTAGCTATACATTACACCGATTATATACCTATATACACTTTTATTTATTTATCTATTTATATATTATTTCACACCGATACGAAATATCGTTGAAAGTAAAAAGAGATTTAAAACGGCCTGGTAACTATTCGTTGTCATATATGGTGTAAAAATATTATTGATACGAAAATCGTGGTTATAATAATTTTGTCATACCCGTGTCTGCATAGCATTGGTACTAACTGATCTATAAAATCTGACCCGTGGCATAATCACTTTAAGTAAACAAACATTATGGTATTTTATTTTGAAACTTATATTTTTTTTTTACTTTATTTTAATCATTATAATATTATTTAAAGCGCTAGAAATAATATTATAGCTCGTTCAAATTAGGCTACTAAACATGCACGCGAGACATTTGCAATAACAATATAATATACTAACACAGGGCGAATCGCAAATTGCTATAAAAATTCCTGAGCGGTTTGTAGAGAAGAGTGTCGTTTTAGTTATAGTTTGTTGTGACATTTTTACACCTAATTAATTAGATCATATCAATATCTGTTTAGTTATGTATAATATTATATCCATATTATTATATTCCGAGTTGATTATATCGATAACTATGTGTCATTTCGGCTTAATATGATATTACGACAGTATAAGTTTGTAAAGGTATTCACATTATAGATACTTATGTATGATATAATAACGATGTGTATAATATATAATAGTTTATACTATGTAACGTTTAGGTCAGGACTTGATTAAAATGAGATAGAGAAGTAAAAGTTTTTTATAAGTGCATAAAACCTATCTATTATTGTAATTATATTATAATACATTTAGTAATTTACAAGACTATCTGTTTTGTACTAAAATTATATTTTATATTAATAACAGTAGTATCGCGTATCGTTTATACTTTATATTCAGAAATATAGTATTATAAGATTATTATTTTATATATTATTATAGAATATTACTATTAAAAAAAAATGTAAGTGAAATGTATGTTTGTTAATTGTTACTTAATACTTAGAAATGTTTATTCTGTTTAAATAATCATTTATATTTTTAAGGTGGAAAAAATAATAGCTTGGACGATAAAACGTCTACATTTAGTCTTGGAAATGACAAACTTTGTTCGAGACACGATCAACATTGTAAGACTATTACTCTAATAAAACCGTGTTGGGTAGTGGGTACAGAGCTTGATTTCGGAGCCTTGAAGAAAATTACAGTACTCGTTAGATATATTTAATTATGTGTACATACTATTCTCCTTCAATTTTTCACCGCAACTTACCTATATTAATAATATATTTTTACTTTTTTTTGTATTTTTGAAAAGTATATTTTATTTCATATAATTCGATAGGTACCTAATACAACGTTTATAATGTATGCTTATCTAATACAACTATAATAATATACTATGCCATAATATTTTAACTACTTATGTATTTTAAAAATTTCAAATATATTCTGAAAACTGTAAGCTTACATTAAATACTAATTATATTTATATATTACTTATACATGTAATAAGCCGAACTTTGCTAAAACCGTATCTCGATTTAAGAAGCAATTGTCTAAATTACTCTAAAGTCTCTGTTCCGTTACCTAATATAATTATGGATTCAGTAAAATTCGGTAAATATGCTATTAAAGTTTACTGTTTGGAGCCTTACCTTTTTAGCAGACTGTTCATTAATATTATAGTAATTTGAAACTTTTCAGACCCACACACACACACACTTGTAAGTTTACGTATTAAAAAGTAAATAGTTGCTATCTAATTGAATATTAAAATTTATTTTGTTATAGTTAGGACTGTTCAAAGGTGCTAATCGAGTTTAAAGTTTAAACATTAATTCGATTAATGATAATCTAATTGCATAGGTATCGATTTAAATATAGGTCTGAGTAAACGTCTTATAAGTTATAATAGTTCTTATTTAACAGATATGAAAACATCTAATAATTTGTTATTTTATACACAGATATAAACTTGTGTAATTCGCTATTTTAAATTTCAAACAAAATTTATTTTAACTATTCTATTATAAAATGAGTTTTTATATGCACTATAGATAATAATAAAAACTAATGACGACCGTTGTTAGCTTAAATATGTAGCGTAACAACTGGTATATTATAAAAATATTAATGTTTTTTTTTTTTTTTTTATCATAAATAACAACGATTTTTCTGATTTTCTTAGAAAAGTATACGCGCAAGTCGAAAGGTTTATCATTTTGTGATAACCCTTATAACTAAGGTTGAGAAAATAATCAGTTAGAAAAATAAATTCCCCCTTTATTATGTAAATTATTATTATACGAAAAAAATGGCTTTAGTGCATGGGATTGGGATTGTATATAATATGCCTTCCTGTTTTTAACGTTAATTAACGATAAGAGCACATCAATTCTTTGGAGATTTTGTGTGCGATAGACAGTATACGTTTTTACCATATTTTGTTATCCAGCCATATACATGAGCGCAACGTTAATGAGTACCTATAATATGAGGTGTAATGGTAGGTAATACTTAGTGCACCCGCGGCGACACACCTGCAGTAGCAGACGGTTTTTTCCTTTCTTTTGCCTCAATTTTCCAAACAATTATTTAAAACGAAACAAGTTTACTACATACATATAATTATAATATCTACGTAGTTATTAAAACAATATTAAATAAAATTCGTTTTTGTTTTAACACTCATTCACGTATCTATCCATATAATAACAATAAAATATAACAAGTTATTTAATATTATAATATTATATTGTAATATTTCCCCTGAAACAATGATCGTCTTTTATGCTATCGTATTGCTACGATAAAATGGAATACGTACAGAATGGTTTATCAAGAATGCTCACTTAAATTTTTCTTCAATAATATAGTTATTCAGAATCTGATTTTTGAATGTGTACTGTAGAGATACATACTTCTGTTTTTAAATGAGAACTACTCTTTTCTTCTGTAAATTATATAGTGGATAATTTTTTTGAACATTTAAGTAAATTAAAATTAATATTTGAGTAAAGAATTTTCGATTTATTTAATTTTGTGTATTAGAATAATGTATTCATAATAGTTATGGGTTTGGAAAATGTAAGGACTATGGTGATTTGAACATTTTAGTAATTAATATTTATCAATAGTTATTTAAAATTTATAAAAATAGACTTAACGTAATAAATACTATGTTCAATATTATATTTATTTTTTATGTTTTTATTAGATCTATTATTCTTACTATTAAAGTTTTAATAACTGAGAAATTACTTAATTGAATTTTAAATTAGGTAAGTCTAAATTTAAAAAAAAAAAAAATGATGCATTAAATAATTTATATTATAAAAGGGGGTTCTCATAATATGAAAACAGAAGTCATGTCACATGGAACACTCTTTATTTCAAAAAATCAGAATTTGAATACATTCATTATTAAATTAAAATATTAAGATAAGCATACTTGATGATTGATGAATCACACTGTGTATGCTATAGGTATGCCTTATGTTATGTATTTTATATGATAACTAAATTCTACGGAAATTGCGCTTCTACACATAATAATAATCGTGTTGTGTATTACAGTAAGTATACTGCACCGCAGAAAACATAATTTATTGTTCGACAATTGTCATGATTAAGAAAACAGAAAATGAAGATAATAATAATTACTACTATTATAGCGACTCCGTAGTACGACATTATGACGTTTGTTCCATATTTTATTACCATTTTGTAATGTAATGTAATATAGGTAATATTATTATTATAGTAAATTTGCAATCCTTTAACAAAATATAAAATCATAATAATTATTAATGCATGTGAATGATGAAAACAAAAAAATGTTTTAATCGTATTTAATTAATAATGATTTTTTTTTTTTTTTTATTCATAACGAATGTTATTTAATTGCATAGTCGTTAAAAGGTTTGGGTAACGAGAATGAAAATCGAAAAACAGCAAGTAAATTATTTCAAGGAAAAATATTAATGATATAAAACGATAATTGATAAAATTTCTGGACAATATTGTTATTATATTTATAATGTTATTTTGTACGATTGAAAAAAAATCCAAATGTTACGGTTTAGGTATAAAATTAATATAATCACAGATTTTGGAATAATAACTAATGATGACGTTGTTAATAAAAATAAATATTGTATTAAGTTAAATTGTACCTACACCATACCGTATTACCGAATTCAAGATAAAAACATGGAATGTTTTTAATAATAATTATGCATAATTTACATTTCAAACTAGTTGAATTGCATATAATTCATTTTAATTTATACAATAAAAGGACATAAGGTATTGTAAAACGTAATTGCAATAAAAGAATAAAAAAAAAAAATTAATATTTTCCGATAAAAAATAATAGTTGAAGTAAAAGTATTATTATTCATAGTTCATATTTTTTTGCCTAAGATTTATGAAAAATCGTGTTTTTTTAAGTCTTGTATCAGAGATTAGAGACACAGAGTTTATCAAAATCTTTAACAATTGAATATTACTGTACCTAACCTTAAGTCCCAATGATAGTACTGTAAGTTGTAACACTTAAAATTATATAGTTTGTATTTTTGTTATTTATGTACATAGCAAATTGAGTCTATTGTTATCTCGAGTACCCTAAATTTTTATTTTTATAAAATATTTTATAGTGCCTGTCTCGTAAATCAATATATAGTTAATACGTATGTAGGTAATTAATTGATACCAGGTAACAATACATAATGCATAACTTATTGCGCTTGATCCGTAGAGTAACTAGATTATTATCAAATATTAATAAATTATACACATTATTTTAACTCAAGTATGTAGCCAACTTTTTTATGAAGAGAATTAAGAAATTTTATTCTAAATAATAACAAAAAAATTACGACGTACCTATTTGTGCTTAATGGGATAAAAATCTATACAGAACTTTTAATAGGGCAAATTATGCATAAAATAAATGTATGGTACAGTTACAAAGAAATATAAAAAATTCAATGGCGCATATTAATTTGCAATATGTTGGTAAAGTTTAAATATTATCATGAGAACAGAGCAGCACAATATTATCTTAAAATAATTAATTTTTATGTTTGTGCAAATATTCTTATATATTCTACGCCATCTGTACGAGTACTCTAACGTAAAATTTGACACGTCTGCCGTACATTTTTCTCATAGATGGCAGTAGTTGTACACAACACATTTATGCGGCGTACGAGCGTGCAATTATACATATTATAAATTATAATACATAATATCAGTATGTCGATGAGTGCAAAATATGTTTAAAAAATTTAATTGAAATAATTGAATAATGCTATAAATACAAAAATGAATGTGTACATTTATTGTAACTAAATACGATTTCATTCTTGAACACTAATCATCATCTTTTAAGTGAAATATTTTAATGTATACACTGTACACTGTACAGAGTAATAGAAGAATTCAATTTATTACATTGAAAAACTTAAAATAATGTATTGCGTATAGTAAAATGAATACCTATAGATAAAAGTTTTAAGTCTCTATGAATAATGTTTTTAAATTTTATCCATAGAATCAGAGGCCCGTTTGATAGGACGATCCTACTAAAATTAATTAAAAAAAGAAAATTGACGAATATTCTTAATTCTATATTTAAAAAAATAATTTTTATAAAAACTGCAAATTTTGAATTTCTATGTAGTATTTTGTCTTCTGCGAATATTAAATTTGTTTCCCTCAAATACTAGGAGGCAGGAGCATAGTATGGGTACGCATACGCATGCAAGCACGAGCAGTGTCAGGACGATCGGCAGCGTCGTTCAAGTAATATTATTCTGAATACGTACATTATAAACGAAGGCACTGCTTTCTTGTGCGTGCAGGTAAGTTTAAAGCATGATTCACTTCACACTAGTCCGAAACGGCACGACAAAATATTATATTATTAGTTTATATGAGATAATTCACATTGGTAAGTACGTTACCGCACGGAACAGACCGACACCGACCGGACCGACCGACCATCATTCCATACAATGTTTTGATGGTCCGGTTCGTGTTGGTTTGTGTCGGTGCAGTGTGAACACAAAAACCAGCAAACACCGGTAAAAAAATATTCAAATTTATACAACGAAAATGTTTAAGTTTTCAGTTTTCCTTTCCAAGTACAATTTGTATTATACTCATTTTGATTTATCTAAAATAGAATATTATTATTTTTACTCTTTGCATTTATACAAGAATCCTTCATATTAAGTTCATATT